AACACTTTTCACTTATCTATTTATTTATATTTTATGTATGTTGGTGTTTTGCCTGCATGTGTTATCTGTATGAAGGTGTTGGATCCCCTGGAATGGGAGTCACAGCCAGTTGTGAGCTGATATGTAGGTGCTGGGAATTGAACCCCAGGTCCTCTAGACAGGCAGCTGGTGCTCTCAACTGCTGAACCATCTCCAGTCCCAGGTATCTGTTTTATAGATGAGGAAACAGGCACAGGGCATTTGATATCAGTCTTTCTAGTTTGCTTTCTAGCCACATCTCTTTTTTGTGTTCTCAAGTCCTCTCATTTCATGAAGACCCCTTTTCTTGAAGATCCTAATCTCACTAATAACAGTACTGGGTGGGTAAGATGGCTAAGTGAGGAAAGGCCCAGGGTAGTAGGAGAGAACCGATTCTTATACATTCTCCTTTGACTGATAACATGTATTTGCATACATGTGCACATGGCACACATACACACATCAATAAACAAATATTACCCATAGAGAACATAGCTTCTGCTGTGTAATGCTCACATATCAAGGCAGCATGCCGATGTGATTATAGACATGACTTCCTGAGCCATGCCTAAGTCAGGTAATCAGTATACAGAGGAGACCGAGGGAGGTGACTGCACCCTCTAGGTGACCCACCCAGAACTTTGGAATTCAACCTGTCCCCACCAAACAGGCTGAAGCCAGAAGCCTTTGGCCTCTGATTCCTTTTCCGACTCTTGCCCTACTACTTGTCTTAAGCTGTCAGCTTGGACAGGCTAGCCTTGAGCTGCTTGCTGGCTAGCCTTACACCCTGGCTCCTGGGAGATCCTAGCCCAGTCAGCAGGGGCCTTGTGCAGTGCCTTGTGCACTAGCTCTCTACCATCCCAGCTGTCTGGGCAATCCAAGCACACCACGTTTCTCAGAAATAACACTTGCTGCACAGAACTCAGACGCAGCCAGAAACCAGCAAATTTGCTGTTTCTGGAATAAGTGGATTGATGAGAAGTTGCATGTGCCAGAAATCTCCATATATCATCTGCTCCCATTGTAGAATGCCTTTCTAACACAATGGATTTTTTGATAGTTGGCTCTCAGTCTTGATGACACTTGGGGACTTAAGTGTGGATCTGCCTTGGATTTGATTGTAATGGAGTTTCTGGAATTAAGATCCGAAGTTACTCCTCAGAACTATAAGTGCCCTGCTATCTGCAACATTCACTTGTTTGACAACATTATTGCAGTTAATCGCAACAATTTCACAAGAATATTAAATTTTGGCTGTCTCAAGCTGGGCCTGGTGACACATGCCTTTAATCACAGCACTTGGAAGGCAGAAGCAGACAGATCTGAGTTCGAGACTAGCCTGATCTACAGAGTGAATTCTAGAGCTACACAGAGAAACCGTCTCAATCAATAAAACAAAGCAAAAAAACAACACAAGACGAAACAAAAATTTGATGTCTCAACAACTTTGTGTAGTTTCACCCTGTTTCTTCCTGATGCATGTGGATCTAGATTAAATACTTCCAGAGCAGCTACATACACATTACAAAATGCACTTATTATATTTCAACTAAAGTTTTAAGTATAGAGGTTTCCTTCCTTCCTTCCTTCCTTCCTTCCTTCCTTCCTTCCTTCTCTTCCTTCCTTCTCCCCCTTTCCCTTTTTCTTATGGTTTTTCTTTCTCTCGCTTTTTAAATTGCCAAGATTGGCCTTGAACTGTATTTTTGTGTCTCCCTCTTCCTTTTCTTTGGGTCATATTTTTTAAATTGTATTACTTTTTTTTTATTTCATTTCACATTTTAACCATAGTTCTCCCTCCCACCCCTCCTCACATCCTCTCATCCCCCCAGCCCACCCCCAGTCTACTCCTCCCCACTGCTGAGA